CCATGTTTTAATGGAGAATCATTTGTTGCATATTTTCAGCAAAAACGATGACCCTCAAATCAGTGAATGTGTTTGATACATATGTGGATGGTGAGTACTTCATGACCATTGTTCTGTTATTAGGGTTCCTGATTATCTGTTCTTCTTCTTCATGTTCAGCTGATGAAAACTCAGAAAGTCCTGATCTTTGTCCACTTTTGGGCTTTGGTCTTGTTCCACAACCATTGACATTTCTTTTACAGATCTGGCTATATATGTGCAGACTGTTGGTTTTTCATCTCTCAGACAGATGCAGTATGACTTTTCAGGAAACGTCCGTACTGTCTGCATTGGACAGGCTGTCGGCGGGGAACCTGTTTCTTTAATGACCTCAGTGGGAGGTAGATAGGTCTTGACATATGTGAACTTTAGTATAGCTCCACGTGTTGTTTAGCAACTAAACATTCCAATAAATCTGATCAGCTCAGATGATCTTTTTTACACCGAACATTTCCGTACATGTTCTCTTCTCCTCTGTAGAAGTTTGAACAACTGATCAACATCATGGCACACAGGTAGTAACCCATAAGTGCTCTGTTCTTCTTTTAACTCAAGTCTGAGTCCGAAGAAGCTCAGCAGAGTGCACAGACTCTGTAGCACTGGCAAGGATCCTGAAATACTTTAGGTAGATTTTTAACTCAAAATTTTGCTCGAACAGGGCCCTTAGGCTACTCTTTTCAATTTCCAACTGCCAAGGGATTTTTTACGTGCCCAACAATGCACACCGGCGTTCGATCTCACTACCTTGAGACCAGGGGGAATTACTAGAAGTCCAAGTCCAGGTGAAAAAAAATTCCAGGATTGAACCCAGAACCTTCAGCACCGAGGCAGACAGCATGCCCCCTTCTCCTCTGTAGTAATCACGTTACACTGTGTGGCCTCTTTTTAAATGATTATTCTGTATGTCAGTGTATTTTCTATGCTGGTTTCCTAATGATAAGTGCACGTTTCCATTATTTTAAAAAGGATTTTTCTACATGTCAGTGTTTTTGTATGCTGGTTTCCTAATTAATAGTTTATATTATCATTCTTTCAAAAAATGATTTTTATGTATGTCCATATTTTAATTGATTGTTCTGTGTCCTTATTTTTTTTTTTTTAAAGATTATTCTCAATATCCATGTTTTTTTAATGATATATATGTCAGTGTTTTTAATGGTTGTTCTATATATTTATGTTTTTAATTATCTTTATATCAGCATTTCAAAGTTTTTTCTGTATGTTGATTTGTTTTTAAAAAATAATTGGGGCGGATCTGAGGCTCGTTATTTTACCAATTTGAGTATCTCACATGGGAGTAGATCATGAGGCAGGCCATGAAGACAGTGGAGAGATAACATACATGAAGACCTACAAATATTTATTCTCAGTTGGAAATAGAAGACAAGTCAGACATAAATGGAGGCAGCTGATTTCAGGGGTTCCAAAATTTTCAAGAAACAGAGCAGGATATTTCATATATAACTGAAACCACTATTTTACATTTCTTAGAATCACCACTTCTCCGATTCTTGAAAAAAGAAGCCAGAGATGAACATATCCTGTTAATGACAACATATGATGATGCTTCATATGGGTATGTTCTTAATATTTGAATAATTAACAGAAATGAATATGTAGTTGCTTATACTTAGATTATTGACATTGCATACATTCATATGCAAATTATGCAATGTGGCATATTTTGGCGAAACGCTGCAAGCGTTAGTGGATCAGTTCCATGATCATCTTATGGATATTGAACTCCCATTCCAATTTGGTGTCTTCTCCACAATTAAGGTTGGCTGATGTGCATCCACTGCCGTCTTTGAGAATATTACATGATAAGGCTCCAGTCTCTTCCATGGTTTGACTCTTTTACTGCTGATTTAAAAAAAAAAAACACCCAAAAAAAAAACCCAGGAGAATATTTTTTAAAATACTTCGAGGAACCCCAGATCACTCTCTCTATTTTAACAGTTTTGATCATTTTGGTGAAACTGATATTTCTGTCACCGTATCACAGTGTCCTACGAATAACACTGTACCGTTCAGATAACACTGAATCCTATATATAACACTGTATCATACTAGATACACTGAATTCTATCAATAACATTATCCTACAAGAGATCCTGATTCCTACAAATAACACTGTCCTACAAACAACACCGAATCCTGTAAACAACACTATCCTACAAGTGTCACTGAATACTATGAATAAAACTTTATTCTTCAAGAGACACTGTTTCAAGAAACTGTTTCAAGAGACACTGTTTCGAGAGACATTGTTTCAAGAGACACTGTTTTTTACATATGGTACCATCCTGTCTTCCTTCTTCTTTATTTCCTCTTGTACCATTTAGTGTGCCAAAGGAGACATAAGGTTCCTTTCCTCTAGCCGTCTTAACTATAGACACATTGTGCTGTTCTAGAGCTTTTCTGATATCTTTCCATATTTTCTTTGTCTGCCTCTTGGTCCATGTTCCTCTCCTTTTTTTTGGGTGAAGGCCTTGTATGTTAAGGCATTACAAGGCTTTCTCTCTAAGCAGGCAAACCATTTTATTTTCTGTCTTATCCTATTTCCCAAAGACACTATTCTACAAGTGACATTGTCTTACAAATTGTACAGAACACTTCAACTAACACCATATCCTACAATTGACACAATACCCTACAAATGACACTATCCTGTAAATGACACAACATTATGCTGCTTATCTCCAGATATAAGAATCAGAATGTTTTCTTTGGGTTAAAATAGTAATGTTGGAGTTAGTATGAATTATGAGTTGGATTATCTTCACAGTACTCCACTCCAAGACGTGGAGTCGTACACCTATTTGGGCAGTAATGTAGATAAAGATGGAGGAACTGATAGAGATATTAAAATAAGAATACAAAAGGCAAGAGGGGCTTTCATAGCACTAGGGAATTTGTGGAGGTCAAAAGAAATTAAAAGAAATACTAAACTAAAAATTTTTAATTCTAATGTCAAATCAGTACTATTGTATGGGGCGGAAACATGGAGAACAACGAAGGCAATTACTAATAAATTACAGACATTCATTAACTGGTGCCTGCGCAAAATAGAGGGAATAAAATGGTATGATAGAATAACTAATGTAGAACTTTGGGAGAGAACTAAACAGGCTTCAGTGGATCAGGAGGTGAGGAAAAGACGCTGGTGTTGGATAGAAAACAGGAGAAACACTGAGAAAACAGGAGAACAGCATAACTAGAATGTCTTTGCATTGGAACCCACAGGGGCATAGGAATAAAGGAAGGCCAAAAAACACATGGAGAATGAGGTTAGAAAGATTGGGAGGACATGGGGAGAGCTCCATGTAATGGCGAAGGATAGAACGACTTGGCGTGAGTTGGTTGAGGGCCTATGCTCCATTGGGGGATAAAAAGGCAGTAGAAGAAGAAGACTCCAGACACATCCATAGGTGCTCAGATTCCCCTTTTAGCATATTCATCAGTGTCACACGATTAATAGTGTCAGTCCTCTGCTGCTTACCAAGAGTTCTTATGCATCCAGTATGCCTCTCATGCTTGGCTGTGCTGATCTTTACTCACAATTCTCACATTCTTAGCAGTGATGTGGACACATTGCTTCCAAAATCCTCGGAACGTCTTATCTCTCTAAGGACATTAACAGTGCTGGGGTGATCCATAGTCCGCCATCTGCAGCTACTGCAGAACCTGCCAGTCTATCAGCTCTTTCATCTACATCATGGACAGGATACTATCTCTATATCTGTTGACCTTGTGAAGTTCATGTGGCTTTTTCTTTCAGAGAAACTTCTGCTTCTGATTCCCTGACAAGGTGAGGAAAGAGAAATCATCCATATAAATGTGCACAGTGCACACTGTTTCTAATGATGCACATCCTTTATTGTACTGTATATGGAATCTGTTGACAGTTAATTACCTTAAACCTTTCCTAGTAACACTTAAAAAAAAAATGAGTCAAGATTCCAAGGCAAAAGAATAAAGAAATCCTCAACAACACACATTTTACACAGGTCACTAATAAATATTTTTTATTTTTTGTACATTTTAATTTTTCTTCAAAATTTGTAAAAAAAAAATAAAATAAAAAAAACCATGAAATTAGTTATCAATAAACATACAATGAGTGAAGCATTAAATAGAATACATGACCTAATCTAAGAATGGTTTAAGTGTGAGAGGATTGACTTCGTTGCACCAAGTTTGATTCAGTGTAGCTCAGTCTGTCTCTGCATAGCAGCTGCCTGCTGCCAAGAGCATCTCACAAAGCAAGAACTCTCTAGCTCCAGCAGTGGTCTCATCCCCAAGGGGTCACCGAGAAGATTACTTGTCAAGCAGATAAGGATTTATTAAAATGAATCCACAACCTTTAAAAATATAAAAACTAAGAAATAAATACCTATATGACTTGACCTCATGGCATGGGTCTAACAAGAGCACAGACCTGATCCATGATTCTAGTGATTGTGTGAGATATTGAACCATTAGGGCCTGTACTTATCTGCTCAACGTTTAATGAATATTATCTGTCTCTTTGAGCCGCCAGGGTATGGCTGCTAGACGCTTGCCTGCGCATCAGAAGGTCGTGGGTTCAGGCCCCCAGGGTACCGGACTTTAAAGAAAAAAAATTACCTTGACTCCCAGGTGGAGTCCGGGGAAGTAAAGGTGACATGTTGCTGACCACATCACCCACCTATGTGCCCAGTACACCCGAAGACATGGAAAGGGTCCTTTACTTTACTTTTACTGTAAGTCTCTTTGTAGTCCATGCACTTGTGCAGAAATCAGACACTGTTTGGGTAGATGCAGCTTTCAAAATTACCCCAAAATACTTTGAGAAATCCTTGAAAAACTGTTGATGAATTTGACTACGAACCCTGTTGTAGGTGTTCCATATACGTAATGTTTTATGTACTTTCAGAATGATCTGTAAAGAGCTATTCATTATCTTCTGTCCATTGCAGTTTGAAGGAGTCTGGACGTCAGTGGCTGAAGCTGTTTGGGAGCGCTCTGATTGACCACCTTGGCTTCCGAGATAACTTTCTTATGATTGGCCACAGGGGACTGGCCAGTGGAAGCGCCATTGAATATGTAAATACAAATTATGTCAGTTGTTTACACATACTTTGAGATGTTGATTTATTGTGTGTATGTGTGTGTGTTGCTGCACAGACGCGCAATCATACACACACACATGCTTGCACATGCTTACACACATGCTTGTATGTACACACACACTCTGACATGGTTAATCCTTTTTCCTTGCATTGTAAAACCGCAAGTTGGTGTTAACTCACCATTTATCATCTGTGTCAGAATTGATTAAAGTACTAGAGACAAAAGGTTGTGGGTAGACATAACTACCCTAGCCACACAGCTTGAACTTTAAGAAGAAGATGAGGTGAAATAAACTGAAAACTTTGTGACATCTAGTATACTAGATGGGGAAAAAAAGAGCAAAGGAAAGACAATAGGATAAACATTTTAATAGCATCAAGCTACAAGTTGCAGAAGTGGATAGACTTGATTAGAACTGCCACTGATGAGAGAGTCACCCTATGGTTGAAGCTGATTTAATGAACCCTTTAAGAGAGTTCAGCCAAAATGAGGGCTTTCCACTGAATGAGGTAAAATGGAAGAGGTAGAATGGAACCATCAGCATTGAACATTGGTATATCCAATAAAGAGTAGCATATCAGTTTGACTAGGAGACTAGGTAACATCGGACTGGCACTGCTAGTTGCTGTATGCGGAATAATTTACTACAGAAATCAGACATACCTACCTATTTCATGTGATGGTACTGGGGGGGAAATAATAGACCCACTCCCATTTTTTTAACAATCGTGTTGTAAAAGGGGACTACTTACAAGTTTTGGTTAAATAAATGTGTTGGGCTGAAAGGCACAGATATCGCAGCCTAGTAATGAATCACAACACAACTTGCCAGCCACCTTTCTAGCGGCAACTGCAGAAGAAGACATGCCTGATGGATGTGTCAGGAGTGCAGTGATGGTAAATGAAACTGTACTTAACTTTCAAATGAACATTTAGGTAAAGTATTGACTTATTTCTTTCAGCATATCACTAAAAGGGACAAGTCTGAAGCCTTTGCTCCACCAATTGAAAAGGCTGGATGCTTTTCTTTTCCATGTAAGTACTAAATGACAGTAAATGAATGACGGAATGAATCAAGAATTGACATCACTGTCCTCATGGCATTCACAATCACGCTACATCTTCTTCAGTAACTAATGAGGGGAGGGGGGGGTGGTAAAATCTTACCCTACAAGTTCATGGTGTCTGTACCAGCTATTTAGCCCTGAAACCTGAGGCTCAAGACAAAGATATGTGTAGAATGTGAACAAAGAAGATGCATACAGCAGGCTGCAAAGTTTATTGCCCCCCCCCCCACCCCCCACACACACACACACACATATATATATATATGCTGTATATCTCATGAGGGGCATACTGCAGTAACAGTTGCTCACAGTGAAGTAAACAATTAAATCCTCTACAGTGAAATATGCCAGGCAGTAATTGTGCAGTCTTGTGTTTGTTTCTTCTTTATTCAGATTTATAGCAAAAAACTGAATTTTATCTTTCCAGTCTTTTACTTTTAGCTGTTTTGTGAGATCACTGATGTATTTTTTCTTTGAATTACATTTATTGCTTTACATTTTTCTTTTGTTCTAGTTGGTAACAAAGTTACTAATTTAATGGGCTCTCTTTTATGCTTTGTATAAACTGATTGTTTCGCACGTTGAGTCTCATCCACTCAGAACTATACTGTAATGACGTGGTTGTAAGGATTACTGCAAGAGGTCATAGAAAATCCAATTTGTATAAATAATAACAGGTTTTAGGTTCCCTTTGATTGAGATAGGAAAACCCGGCATAAAAGTAGAACACAACTGTGTGAAGGATAGAAGTAATCCACATGTTTGTAGTGGATGCTAGCAACTGATAGCATCATGAGAATTATGTGGGGGGATGAATAAGTTTTAACTGAACATCTCATGTGTGTGTCTGAGATATATAATTGAAGAACAAGAGACTGAGGGGTTCTTTGGAGAGTAAGACCTCGATTGGCACAATTAGCACTTGTTGTGCTGAGAACTAGGCCGCAGTGAATAGAGCAGCATAGGAGGAGGGGACAGCAGTTGGGTGTCTGACTCAGCAAGAGCTTGTGTGAGAAGAACAAGTAGTAGTTTGTTTGCAGGGAACCAGAACCAGACAGTGAGTAAGTGTTTAGCTTTCTTGTTTCATAGACAGTTAGGGACTGGAGACAGGCAGACTGGCTGTGTTGTTACATCAGTAATAAATGTCATGCTGGACAATGGAATCGGGTCAGAAAAGAGTGGAAGTTGTGTGGGTTTGTCCACCCTGTGTATTTCTGAGGACATTATGAGTCCTGGTATATGGTGCCTGTCCACCACTCACAGTGTACAACGTCTTCTTCTCTTCCACCATTTACCTCATCGAGGTGTTGGGGGATGATGTAAGGATCATTTGTGCACTTTTGTTTTCTTTCTAATGCTATATACAAGTTGGTGTTCATTTCTGTTAGTTTGCTCCTGATGATGTCACTCCATCTCTTGCGTGGTCTTCCCCTTGCTCTGTGTTAATTATGTTTCTTCAGTGTGGCTCTCTGTGGCAGTTGGTATCAGGGCATTCTTGTCAGGTGGCCAAACCATCTCATTTGTTGTTCTTTAATGAATTGTATGACTGGTTTCAGTCTTAGTCTTTTTCTGATTTCTTAATTCTTAATTCTGTCTTTTCTTGTCGTACTGGTAGCTCTGCTAAGACGTCTCATCTTGGTTGTTACCATCTTCTGCTCATTAGTTGTAGTAAGGGTCCATGTTTGGCGCTGATAGCACAATGTTGGCCAAAAAACTTTTTGTGAGATACAGTGCACAAGATCATGAAACAATAGAGGTTTATGATGTATAACTCTCTCCCCCCCCCCCCCCCCCCCAACTTCTGCTGCAGTGGGTAACAAAGTGAACATGGACAACACAATGCCTGAAGTTCTTTATGGGGAAGAAATCAAGGTCGGAGCTCGCATCGAGAACTGTGGACTTCCCCTGCCATGTCGAGATGGCAGCATAGCTGTACAAGTTGACACAGGCATTGGTGACTCCAGGCAACCTAGTATATGTGTGGGTGACTACATGTAAGTAACTCATATCATCATCAGGTGCCTTGCTGACTGGCGTGGGCGATCATGCATCTCCATAATCTGCAATCTCCTGCAGCATGTATCAGTTCGTGTGCCGACACACCTCCATGCCATGCAACAAGACTGTCAAGCATCTTCTCTCATTGTCTTCCTCTATCTCTCCTTCCACTTATCTTTCCAGTGGTCACAACATGTTCTATTTTCCCTCTTCTCATAACATGGCTGAAAAATGATGACTGTCTCCTTCTGATGTCTGTGATAAGTTGTCTTCGGGCTCCTGCCTCTTTCAAAACCTCTTGGTTGCTCTTTTTGGCTGTCCAAGGTATTCTAAGCATTCTTCTGTAAAAAGAAATCTCCGAGACCTCCAGAAATAAGTAACTCATAACTGTACTGTTTAGCCTGGGTTCAGTACATTCATCATCAACATCAACTTCCCCTTTTACTGTAAATGCATGAGGTGGAACAGTTTGTGATCCAGCATTCGATGGGTGGCACTAGCCATTGTCATTCTGTAAAAAATAGCCCCTTTTCCACACCTTCAGGCATATTGGGCATATAGAAGCAATCAGCACTTGGTCGGTGGTGGTTTGGTTAACATCATGTCCACCGCCATTACATCCTAGGACTTCACCTGGTACCCATTTAAGGCTGTCCACCCTGGAGCCAAATTCTGGCTCAGTTCTTGGATGAACTTATGATTTTTACACCTGCAGGTGAGCATGTAGCTGATACATCATGGTGGCTCAGTGTGGCTGCACAGTATCATTTGTTTATCTCATCAATCCATTGTTTCCTTATGCACCCAGTCGCTGTCACAGAAGATCTTTATAAGTGAAGCACCTGCGGTGATAGTTTTTATGGCTGCATTCTAATGAGATGCCAAATGTTTTGATCTGCCTTTCTTTGAATTTTGTCAAGCTCCATTGACTTACCAGTATAAGTAATTAGAGTTCGAGGCCATGTAGTGGTGGATTTTTGTTTCCTCACAGCTGGTTTATAATTAACTTTCTCCAAACATTTGGTAACAAAACACTTGTGAAATGAGATGTTTTAGAAAGGCTTTAACAAAACTAAAAGAGATCATGTGAGATGTAAAGAGATTAGAGGAACTATTGGAACAATACCCATAGTTAAATTCTTTGAGAAATGATGACTGAAATGGGTCGGCCACATAGTGAGAATGAATTTAATGCCAGAACTCCATAGCTCCCGCGATGATCCCAGGAGCGTCTGTAAATTTTTGCACTTGTGAACCAAATGACACAGCTGTGAAACAAACTCACAACTTTCAGAGCGGGAGGCAGATGGCCTGACCACTTAGCCACGGAGACCCCATAAACTGTGGCATGGACTATAAGAAAATTAAACATGGATGTGTGTTTTCATCTTTCTTTTCTTGTCCCTGTCAGTGGTTTCCAGATGAATAGGCCACAGGCCTCTATAAAGGCTGTTGTACGATGCATGTCCGACACTAATCCATACAGTTTGGCTTCCACTAGAGTGCTAAGCAGCCAGACCTGGGATCTTTCTGCTACATGTAGAGAGCATGTCTGTAGCACATGTTCAGTATTCTTTAGTGCCTGTCCACATGTGCGAATAGGTTTTTACGGTCTGGGGAGAATAGCGCTGCGAGAAGTTACCAAGGGATCTGTCTGGCGCTCAGCACTCAAGGGAAGGGCCAGGCGGATATACAGTCAGACAGTTACTGTGCTATCAGAAATGGAACCCTTCGTTTGCTGCTGAAGATGGGGACTGAGTGCTATTGGGAGTGTCCTGAATGCTGTGATGTTGATTCTTAATTCAACATTCAACAAGTGCAAAGTCCTGAGTCCCCAGTCTTGAATTTCCCATACATTTAGTGGTGCCAGCCTCTGTTGTGTCAAGTTCTCATGCTAACTAAAATGGTCTGTTTCTTTCGTGTGAGGAGGTTGACCTGGTTTTTGAGATTAACATTCACTTTTATTTCTGTCACTTATTTGCATGTTTACCTATTCACATTTGTAGAAGAATGGATGGCTCTACCAATAGTGCAGGGAGAGGTTTTAATGTGGTTGTGTTGGACCCTCACAGTCTGCAACCTGTACGACTGTCACACATGGACACTTACACGTCTGGTAATTATAGTAGATGCCTGTGTTTTTGTGTGTTTGCTCACTCTGTGCTACATGTCTTGGACATGTGTTTGATTATGATTGCTAAATGCTGTATAATTAATTTGTTTGCTAATTTTTTTAAAAATTGTCTGGCCATATCTTTAGTTTCTCATTCTTAATTAGTAGATACTGAAGCTAGTTATCCATACACTACATACTTCATTGCTCTACTGCCATGTAAATGATTTATTTGTTAACAGAATTATTATACTCTGGGAAATACTGTTGCCTTCCACGCTTGTACTTTCATGGCCCCTAATGAAACAAAATCAATAGCAGCACTGTAGCCTACCATGCATGTCATAAGAGGTGACTAGTGAGGGTTGGTGTGAGACTGGCTAGCTCATCTTGTGCTCCACAAGGCTATGTCTAACGGGAAAGAAACAGTTGATTTATTGCTAGGTGTGTATTTATTACTTCCCTCTGAGGGGTAGGGGGGCTGCGTGGTCTCTAAGCATGGTGTAGTAATTTTGACTGGTCTCTGGGTATTAAGATTGGATGCCTGTGTGTATTGCTGCACATGTAAAAAAAATTCCTTGGCAGTTAGAAGTCGAAAAAGAGTAGCCTAATGGCGCTGCCCGAGCAAATTTTGGAGGTAAAAATCTACCCAAAGTATTTCAGTATTTCTCAGCACTGCACTGAGATTCTTCGCACTCAAGCTTGAGTGAGAAGTAGAACGGAGCACTTATGGGTTACTACACTTGTGCCATGATGTTGATCCGACATCTAACCCTAAAACTAAACTTCCCTCTATGAAGAAAAAGTGGCTAAAAATAATGTTTTTGGTGACTTGATGGCTGCAGTGATGCAGTGGCCATCATAGTTGCCCGTCTACTCAGTGATCAGTCCCCTGTATTTTTTTAAAAACTGACAGAGTCAAATTTCTTCTGCTTCTTGTTGTCTTCCTCTAGTTCCTAAGGGTAGAGTTTCAAAGAATTCTTAGTGTTTTTTTTTCTTCCTTTTTTAAATATAGATTCTTACCAGGTGAAAGGGTTAATTCCCACACAATATCCTGGTACTTGCTTTTAGACTGGCTTCACTTTGGGTTAGGGGAAAAATCTCTAGATGCATGGAATGATAAAAGTAGTCCCATGATTGACCAGGCCACCAAGATGTGAAATATTGTGCCTGTATATATATTCTAGACTACTTTGGCCTCTATTATGATATAAAGATGTGTTCAGATGTGACCTGAATGGTACAGGTATTGAGGTTGGAGCAGAATACCAGTTTCTGTTACCTTGAGGGGGGAACAAAAAAGGGAAGGGAATAGGAATAAAAGAGATTTTATTGCAGATAGGTTGGGAGCTGAGTGTCTGAGAAGGTACACACTAAATATTTATGATAGCAGCAAGGATTGTGAAATCCTGTCCTCTAATTGTGCTGACTTTTCCAAATGCAGGCGGATCTTGCCAGTCACACTCGCCATCACTCATGGGCTGCGAGTCCCATGCCTCCCTATAGCACAGTATAACACTATCATCTGAAAAGACAGAAAGGTGCCAACAGCAATATTCCAGACTACAACATTTATAACTTGATGAGCCTTTATCTTCTTTCCTTTCCCCACAGTTCCCAGAACATTACTGTAGTAATACAGTTTTAATGAGGCTTAATCGATCACAGACTCATACTGGTTGAGGGGAGGGGGAAGATGTCCAGCTTTTGAGATTTGAACCTGGACCACTGTCTTGTCAGGCATCGGCAATAACCACTGTGCTGTTGCATCCTTCAGCATATCTGGTACCTGGGACATTTGTTGCTGTTTTTTTTTTTTTTACAGTCAAATCTCTCATCTCATCTTGATCCTTTTGCATCTTGCGCTGTTGAGGTGAAGTGCTAATTTACAGTAGAGTGCCCCATTGTGAGCTTCGTAGATGGGGATTCCCAGGGACTCTGTTATTCCCTCTGTCCATCGCTTGCATGGTCGGCCTCTTCCTCGCTTCCCGCCTAGTCTGTACGTCATTACTTGCTGTCATATACTGTTTGCTGACATCCGCTTTTGTAAGAGTGCTTTCTTAAATTGATGCTTGTTATTGTTGCTGATGGTGAACTGATGAACCTTTCAGACAGTACCGATCTGGAGTTATTGCTGGAGTCCCTGCACATGAATGAGATTGTCATTGCAGTCATTGCCGATGATGCCTCCAGGAAGTGAGTCTTTGAATTCTGTTGTCTGTATACCTATATTTTAAATGTCTGGTTTTCTCTTTATGTGCTAGGTGCTTTTCTTTTTTGTGTATATCTTAGATGTATTCTACTGTCTACATACATTTAACATATGCATGCAAAAGAATACATCTAACATATGCAGAATATATTCTGCAAATGTTAGATGTATTCTTTTGTCTACATATGCTAGATGTATTCTGCATATGTTAGATGCATTCTTTTGTTACATACATTTAACATATGCATGCAAAAGAATACATCTAACATTTGCAGAATATATTCTGCAGATGTTAGATGTATTCTTTTGTCTTCATATGTTAGATGTATTCTGCATATGTTAGATGTATTATTTTGTCTACATATGTCAGATGTATTCTGCATATGTTAGATGTATTTTTTTGCCTGCATATGTTAAATGTATTCTTTTGTCTACATATGTCAGATGTATTCTGCATGTGTTAGATGTATTCTTTTGCTTGCATATTTTTAATGTATTCTTTTGTCTACATATGTTGAATGTATTATTTTGTCTACATATGTCAGATGTATTGTTTTCTCTGCATATCTTAGATGTATTCTTTTGTCTACATATGTCAGATATAATCTTGTGTCTACATATGTCAGATGTAATCTTGTGTCTACATATTTTAGATGTATTTTTTTTTGTTTACATATGTCAGATGTATTTTTTGTGTCTACATATGTTAGATGTAATCTTGCATCTATGCTAGATGTATTCTGCATATGTTAGATGCATTCTTTTGTTACATACATTTAACATATGCATGCAAAAGAATACATCTAAAATTTGCAGAATATATTCTGCAAATGTTAGATGTATTCTTTTGTCTTCATATGTTAGATGTATTCTGCATATGTTAGATGTATTATTTTGTCTACATATGTCAGATGTATTCTGCATATGTTAGATGTATTTCTTTTGTCTGCATATGTTAAATGTATTCTTTTGTCTACATGTATCAGATGTATTCTGGATATGTCAGATGTATTTTGCATATGTTAGATGTATTCTTTTGCCTGCATATGTTAAATGTATTTTTTTGTCTACATATGTCAGATTTATTCTTTTGTCTACATATGTCAGATGTATTATTTTCTCTGCATATCTTAGATGTACTCTTTTGTCTACATTCATCAGATGTAATTTTGTGTCTACATATGTTAGATGTATTGTTTTCTCTGCATATCTTAGATGTATTCTTTTGTCTGCATATGTCAGATGTAATCATGTGTCTACATATGTTAGATGTATTTTTTGTCTACATATGTCAGATGTATTCTTTTATCTACATATGTCAGATGTATTGTTTTCTCTGCATATCTTAGATGTATTTTTTTGGGTCTACATATGTCAGATGTATTCTTTTGTCTACATATGTCAGATGAATTCTTTTGTCTACATATGTCAGATGTATTCTTTTGACTACATATGTTAGATGTATTCTTTTGTCTACATATGTCAGATGTATTCTTTTGTTTACATATGTCAGATGTTAGTTAGTTAGTTAGTTAGTTGGGTTATCGTCATTGCACTCCGGACATGTCCATAGGTGCTCAGATCCTCCCCTCAGTATGAACCCCAACGTCCGATGGCTAATAGTACCAGTTCTATGTTGATTAACAAGTCTTCTGACGTGTCCGGTGTGCGTCTCGTTTTTTGCTGTGCCGATCTTAATTCCCAAGTCTGCCATTCTGGCGAGTGATGTGGATTCACTGCCACCAAAGTCCTCTATCCTTCCCATTTCTCTGAGGGCATTGATAATATCAGCATGATCCATAGGCCGACCGTCGGTAGTGATAGCGGATCCAGCCAACCTGTCAGCTCTTTCATTTCCATCGACGCCTGCGTGTCCCGGAACAAAAATAAAGGTGACTCCACGCACAGTGGACTTCTGTAATGATTCAAGCCATTGTCTTCGCACTGAACCTGCCTGAACCCTCCGGATCATACTCATTGAATCACTGAGTATACATATGCGGGTGTATTTTTGTGTTTCAAGCCAGGCAAACGCTTGCGTCACTGCCATCACCTCCATCGTCATGCTGCTGGTTGTCATGGAGAAGGCACCGTTGGCTTCTTTGACTGTTCTGCCCGCTGAGCGTGCTGTAAATGCCCATGCGCTTCTTCTTTGGCGTATAACGGATCCGTCTGTGTAGATTAGTGCATCTGCTTCGTCTGAATTTTCACCGATGAGAGCGTTGACCTCTGCATTAACAGCAACAGGATTCTCTTCTCTACATCGCCTGTTGAGTGTGACAATACAGGAAAATGTACAAATAAACGCCTGAGGCACAGGTATCCATTCTGCACCAGGTATGATGTCGGTTAGGCTGCATATTTGCCTAATAACATCTTCTGCCCGACCTAGCCACGATTTTCCCCTCTTCAGTCTGTCGCCCTTTTCACTAAAAAGCGCTTGATGCAGTGGGTGTTTCTTATCAGCACATATTTTGAGGTATGCCCGAGCCCTCCACATTCTGATCCTTTGGTTCATTGTTGGAAAGTCAAGTAGATACCTCATTGCTTCACAGGATGTGTCTCTTGTACATCCCAAAATAATGCGCATGGCTTCATTTTGCACCTTTTCGAGTCTTTCAATCTGGGTAGCACTGACAGTGAGGATGGCCAAAGCGTATTCAATGGGTGAAAGGACCAGACCGTAGAATAGAAGTATTAGTAGTCTTTGCTCGATATTGGAAGCAGCCATAATCCTCATTGCAGATAGACCTTTGCGTGCTTTTGTTATCACATGGTCAACGTGTTCCCTGAATGACAAGCTGCGATCGAACCTCACCCCGAGAAACGTCATAACGTTGGTTCTGATCAATATATTATCACGCATTTTCACTTCTGGTAAGTCCGACTTGACAATGTGATTGTTCAAAGAGAACCATGACACTGATGCCTTCGAAGGATTGACATAGGCATTGGAACCATCACACCAGGCGGCAATTCGATCGAGTTCTTTGTGCATTGTGCTGGCGATCTCCTGTCTATCACGCCCTCGTCGATAAATCAAAATGTCATCAGCAAATGACAAAGTCCTTCCCTTTCCATTCAACTGCTGCTCAGTGATCATCACCGTATAGACGTTGAATAAGACTGGTGATAGCGGTGATCCCTGTGGCAAGCCTGGACATATCGTTTGCGGTTCTGAGGACCAGCTACCACATCTTAGTACAATCTTTCTCTGGAACAGGACCGCAGCAATCCAGCGGATCAGAATAGGATTGACTTCTAGTTTAAGCAGTAATTGCATTAAATATTCGTATGGTACTTTATTGTAGGCATCTTCTAAGTCCAACACTGCCGCACATGTCTCTTCTTTAATCTGAAATCCCTCGTACACATCGTAGGCGAAAACAGCAGCATTGAACCATGTCTCTTTCTTCAACCTGTACCCTCCAAGTGTTGATGGGAACTTATCATGTAGTTCCAAGTAGGTGGTCAATCTTTGTGCGACAATTTTTTCCAAAAGTTTGCCAACAGTATTCTGCATCGAGATGATTCTGTAGCCGCAGATCTTTGAGTGGTCTTTATTAGGCTTTGGTAGTGGGAACAAATAACTATGGAGCCATTCCTCTTGTATCTGGCCACTCTGGATGCTGATATTGAATTCCTTTGCCACGCTTTTCAAATCAGCATTCGACATCATCAGCATGTCATTGTATCGGATGCCGTCAGGTCCTGGAGCAGTGCTGCGCGATTTCTTGAGGCAAGTTCTTAAGGTGTCTGCAGTGATTGTGAAATCAGTGCCTAGCTCAGTGTTCTCGCACAGCATCGACAGTTTCATCTTAACCCCTATTCTTGCAGCTTCGTCTTTTTGGTCAGTTTGCTCCAAGTAGCGCGCAAGAAGGGTTTTTCCTTTATCAGCATCAGTTCTCTGCCATATCAGGTCTGTACCCTGAAAATCAGGGATACCCCTTGGTCGTGCGGCGCCGTGCATGCTCCGTTGAAGGCGCCAGAATGTCACAAGAGATCCCTCGGAGCAAACGCTCTTGCAGAATTCGTTCCATTTCGCTGTCTTGGCTTCTTTGGCAATTAACTTGAAAGCCACTGTCCGCTTGTTAACCTCATCTTTTAGACTGATCAGGCGTTCAGAAAGTGACGGATCAATTTTCCTTGCCTTTTGCCATGCCTTGACAGCGTTCCTTTTTTCTAGCCACGCCATGTTGACTACTTCATTCCACCATGGTGGCTGGGCCCATCTCTCCCGCCGTCTGCGATCTGCTCTTGTTTTACGTCGTCTGATTTTGCTAATGGCATCTTGCCCTGTACGGTCATATAGAAAAGCAGGCACATTGATTACATGACCTTTGTTGTTGCTCTTCTCCACCAGGACGACGCAAGGAAAGTGATCACTGTCATGGTATCCCAGTTGTGTTCCACCTGCATCCTGATGCAATGGAGGGAGACACTAGGGCCAGGTCAATTACGCTGTCAGAATCCCCTTGTCGGGTTGCCATTCGGGTAACCTTTCCGTCGTTCAAGCATACTAGATCGGCAGACACTAGGGCATCCTCCAGGTCTTCCCCCTGTTTATTGGTGATTACATTGCCCCACTGGTTTCCTCTGGCGTTGAAATCTCCGCAGTAAAGGACTTTCTTTTCCTCCGTCTGGAGCAAACTCTGCCATTTCGCTGTATCCACCTTTCCATTGCAGGCGTACACATTGACAATCACAAACTGGGCCGGGCCCAACACTCTGACTGCGTGTACTTGTAGGTCGTCATTATCCCACTCAGACATGTCCACCTCAGACACCGGTATGTTGTCACGAACAAGAATGAGCTGTCCGAGGTGCCGTCTATTGTAGAAGGATTGGAAGCCCGCAATTTTAACGATCTCGTCACCGAGGTGTGTTTCCTGTAGGACAACAATGTCGTTGCTGTAGAGGAGCTTCTCAAAGATGGGTCGGCGTTGACTGAACGAAGCGCAGTTCCAGTAGAGAACGCGAACATATTTTAAGCTGAGTCTCTCACATTTCAGTCGCTTCCTGCAGGCGCCACCGTGCTTGCCTGTTCGCGTTCTCCTTGTCCGTCTATGGGTTGTTTTGAATTGGTGAATAGTCGCCATCGGACGTTGAATACACCCTGAGGGAAGTCTGAACTCACGTGCATGTACTCCATTGCACGGTTCAGACCCCATTCCGATGAAACTTTCACATTATACGTGAGCGAAAATAGTTAATTTGCGCCATTCGCCTCAACGGACGAAAAAGCGTACCGCCATTGTGGCTGTTTACACCGGAAGTGCAGATGTATTCTGCATATGTTAGATGTTTTCTGCATATGTCAGATGTATTCTTTTGTCTACATATGTTAGATGTATTCTGCATATGTCAGATGTATTCTTTTGTCTACATGTGTCAGATGTATTCTGCATATGTCAGATGTATTCTTTTGTCTACATATGTCAGATGTATTCTGCATATGTCAGATGTATTCTGCACATGTTAGATGTATTCTTTTGCCTGCATATGTTAAATGTATTCTTTTGTGTGCATACATTAGATTTATTCTTATGTTAAATTTGCTGTGTGGTGACTCCATATTCATAAGTTGATCATTTTGTTCTCTCTGGGCTGCTTCCTGGTCTACCACCTTGCAATAAAAAAAAAATTCTTAGTCTGGATGACAGCCGGTAGAGCAGTTCCAAAAATGGCTCAAACATTTGGTTTATTGAGTGTGTGGCAGGCTTGTTCACTCTTGTCTGTCAGTAATTTTCTACATAATGGTGGCACATTCTACTTTTGTGTTTCTTAATTTTTAATTTCATTTTTTTTAAAAATTTATTCTCTTAAAGTCGCCGCTAAGCCCTGCAAAGTGTATATAGAGCCATTAGGGCTTTGTCAAGCACCAGTTGAGAGCCACTGCCTTATTCTTTTTTTCATTCTGTAAAGTACTGTTTTTGCCAGTTGTGTTCTGTTCATTTTATAAAGTGCTCTTTTCGCCTGTCCTGTTCTTCATTTGATGAAGTCCACTTTTTGCTTCTCCTGTTCTGCTCTTCATTTTATGAAGTGCTGTTTTTGCCTGTCCTGATCTGTTCTTTATTTCAGAAAGTCAAGTTTTTGCTTGTTCTGTTCTGCTCTCCATTTTATCAAGTGCTCTTTTTACCTATCTTGTTCTGTTCTTCATTTTACAAATTGCAGCTTTTCCTTGTTCTGTTCTGTTCTTCATTTTATGAAGTGCTCTTTTTTGCCTATCCTGTTCTGTTCTTCATTTTATAAAGTGAAGCTTTTCCTTGTTCTGTTCTGTTCTTAACTTCTACATCACATTTACAATTTTTTTTCATTTAGACTGGGCCAAAGTGCCAGGGACATGCTGAACAAGCTGGGCAGCGGTCACATCCAGAACCTCCGTTTCCGAGACGTTTGGTACTTTGTAGGCCAGAAGGGAATCGAAGGTTTCACGCAGATGGAACAGGTAATTTAGCAAATTGAAATGTGCTTACCTCTTTTACATAAGAATTGATCCAAGCTAATATTCACAGTTAACTAGGAACTTATTAGAACAGCATCAGTTACAATTACACCTGTCTTTTCCTGAAAGGGCTACTATCATATGTTCACTGGCCCTTTAGTAAACGTGCCTCCATTAATGGTCTTTATAAACCCCTGTAACATTTATTATAAAAACGGTATTTCAGGATTCAAGACAAATTATTTTCTTGAGCACTGAGAACTTATAACATGTCATTATTTTTCTTCGTTACGGTCCATGATATTCTAAGAACTGTTCTGTTATGTGAGGGGCATTCTGATAGTAATGCCTCTAATTTTGTTGTTCTTCTCACAATTTGTCTGCAAATTGTGTGAAATTCACTCACAATCTAATGTATTCTGTTCTTTGCAAGCCTTTATTTAACCAAAATTGAATTGTGTTAAAGTCTTAATGTAAGCTTTAGAATTTATTGTTTTACCTGTTGGCTCAACATTGATCGTTTCACCTCTTGGCTCAACATTGATTGTTTCACCTCTTGGGTCAACATTGATCGTTTCACCTCTTGGGTCAACATTGATCGTTTCACCTCTTGGCTCAACATTGATCGTTTCACCTCTTGGCTCAACATTGATTGTTTCACCTCTTGGGTCAACATTGATCGTTTCACCTCTTGGCTCAACATTGATCGATTCACCCCTTGGCTCAACATTGATCATTTACCTCTTGGCTCAACATTGATCATTTACCTCTTGGCTCAGCATTGATCATTTACCTCTTGGCTCAACATTGATTGTTTCACCTCTTGTCTCAACATTGATTGTTTCACCTCTTGGGTCAACATTGATCGTTTCACCTCTTGGGTCAACATTGATCGTTTCACCTCTTGGCTCAACATTGATCGTTTCACCTCTTAGCTCAACATTGATCATTTCACCACTTGGCTCAACATTGATCGTTTCACCTCTTGGCTCAACATTGATCATTTCACCTCTTGGCTCATCATTGATCGTTTCACCTCTTGGCTCAACATTGATCGTTTCATCTCTTGGCTCAACATTGATCGTTTACCTCTTGGCTCAACATTGATCGTTTACCTCTTGGCTCAACATTGATCGTTTACCTCTTGGCTCAACATTGATTGTTTCACCTCTTGGCTCAACATTGATCATTTACCTCTTGGCTCAACATTGATCATTTACCTCTTGGCTCAACATTGATTGTTTCACCTCTTGGCTCAACATTGATCGTTTACCTCTTGGCTCAACATTAATCATTTACCTCTTGGCTCAACATTGATCGTTTACTTCCTGGCTCAACATTGATCGTTTACCTCTTGGCTCAACATTGATCGTTTACCTCTTGGCTTACATCCACAAGAATCACGCCATCAGTGCCCCTAGAGACAGTGATCATGGCCTTTCCTGCTGCAGCTTTGCTGTAAATCATAACACAACTTGTCAACCATCTTCTCTCTCACCCTGCAAATGCTAGAAAAAAAGGGGGTAATAAAGCTTTGAATATCCTAGGAAAAAATAATGTATTTTTACAAGTAACTAAAAAGCTGTTAAATGTATTTATCTACATTAAAAAAAAACGGTTTTAAAATATAAGAAGATATAAAAAAGGAGAATCAATAAACAAGAACAGAATGAAAAATTAAATACAATGTTTTAGCTGGTGCCTAAAACAAATGTTAGGTGACCTCTATCACTGAAGCTTATGGGAAAATCAACCTGGCCTTTAAAAGACTATTAGATTTACAAGGAAACATGCTGTATTTAGTTATTATATTCACAAGGAAACATGCTGTATTTAGTTATTATATTCACACACAGGCTTCCTCAACACTACGGAGGTGTATATTGAACTAGTGGCAGTTAACTGTGCTTTTTCAAGAACAGGTGACTGCAGCAATGGCAGTATATCAACATTGACAGGGTTGGGTCACAACTGGGAGTGACTTAATTTAACCTTCTCAAGATGAGATGGTCAAAGGTGACTGCAGAAGAGATAGAAATAGTTGACTTGTTTGACAGGGAAGAGCGGACTTCTTCACTTTACATGCTGGTATTCTCTCCCATTAATATTGATACTAAAATGTGCAAGTCTATTCATTATCTTGCCAATCTGGATCCAAAAAACATGTTATAATATGTTTATCTTGTATATCCTGGCAGTTAAGCTTTTCTGGCTTTGATGGTGGGTGGCCGAAACCATTGACAACTAGGTTCTGCGTCCCTAGAAAGGGTAAGAATTTTAAATCTGATTTTTGCTTTCCTTTTTAAAGGATGTGCTTGGGGGTGGGGGTGGCTGGATTTCCACCATGATTTATGTGCTTTGACCCTACAGAAAATGTGACAGCTTGACAGATGTAGTTTAAAAAAATAGACTGAAAGAAAGAGAGCGAGACAAGATTCTGGACTGCCTATTGCCATAACATGGAAAGATGTCAGTTTACAGATTGCTTTGGTCTCACCATGAATAGTAGGCCGATTTCATTGATAAGTTTATTGGACTAGTCTACCTGGTGACATAGGTCTCATCACTCTGTAGGGGGAGTTGTGTGTTAGACCCAGTCTTTAAATGTTTTTGGAGAGTTAAAAGCTCTGTCATGGTGCAATATACAACACATGATATCAGCACCATTGTGGAATAGCCTGTGACCTTGTGTGAAAGTCGGGTGGCTCAATGCTGACCAATCAGGAGTGAGGTAAGCCGAAGGCCTACTAATCAGAGGTGAGCTAATATAAACCGGTGTGTAGTATGGGGGGGGGGGGGGAATTATCTTTAGTTTTACCCACAGATTGATTAGAGATTGCAAACTGTTGAGAATATGATAACCATACCAGTGGGCAAGGCACTTATTTGTGACAACAATTATTCCAACAGCTACTAACAGTGTGATCATCACCCATACCAGTGGGCAAGGCTTTTTTTTGTGTCAGCAATTATTCCAACAGCTACTAACAGTGTGATCATCACCCATACCAGTCTGCAAGGCTTTTTTTTGTGACAGCAATTATTCCAACAGCTACTAACAGTGTAATCACCCATACCAGTCTGCAAGGCTTTTTTTTTGTGACAGCAATTATTCCAACAGCTACTAACAGTGTAATCACCCATACTAGTCTGCAAGGCGCTTATTTGTGACAGATTTATTCCAACAGCTATGTGATTACCCATACCAGTCGGCAAGGCACTTTTTTGTGTCAGCAATTATTCCAACAGCTACTAACAGTGTAATCACCCATACCAGTCTGCAAGGCTTTTTTTGTGTGACAGCAATTATTCCAACAGCTACTAACAGTGTAATCACCCATACTAGTCTGCAAGGCTTTTTTGTGTGACAGCAATTATTCCAACAGCTACTAACAGTGTAATCACCCATACTAGTCTGCAAGGCGCTTATTTGTGACAGATTTATTCCAACAGCTATGTGATTACCCATACCAGTCGGCAAGGCACTTTTTTGTGTCAGCAATTATTCCAACAGCTACTAACAGTGTAATCACCCATACTAGTCTGCAAGGAGCTTATTTGTGACAGATTTATTCCAACAGCTACTAAAAGTGTGATTACCCATACCAGTGGGCAAGGCACTTATTTGTGACAGCAATTATTCCAAAAGTTACTAACAGTGTGATCATCACCCATACCAGTCTGCAAGGATTTTATTTTGTGACAGCAATTATTCCAACAGCTACTAACAGTGTAATCACCCATACTAGTCTGCAAGGCGCTTATTTGTGACAGATTTATTCCAACAGCTATGTGATTACCCATACCAGTCGGCAAGGCACTTTTTTGTGTCAGCAATTATTCCAACAGCTACTAACAGTGTAATCACCCATACTAGTCTGCAAGGCGCTTATTTGTGACAGATTTATTCCAACAGCTACTAAAAGTGTGATTACCCATACCAGTGGGCAAGGCACTTATTTGTGACAGCAATTATTCCAACAGTTACTAACAGTGTGATCATCACCCATACCAGTCTGCAAGGCTTTTTTTGTGTGACAGCAATTATTCCAACAGCTACTAACAGTGTAATCACCCATACTAGTCTGCAAGGCGCTTATTTGTGACAGATTTATTTCAACAGCTATGTGATTACCCATACCAGTCGGCAAGGCACTTTTTTGTGTCAGCAATTATTCCAACAGCTACCAACAGTGTAATCACCCATACTAGTCTGCAAGGCGCTTATTTGTGACAGCAATTATTCCAACAGCTACTAAAAGTGTGATTACCCATACCAGTGGGCAAGGCACTTATTTGTGACAGCAATTATTCCAACAGTTACTGACAGTGTGATCATCACCCATACCAGTCTGCAAGGTGCTTATTTGTTACAGCAGTTATTCTAACAGCTACTAAAAGTGTGATTACCCATACCAGTGGGCAAGGCACGTATTTGTGACAGCAATTATTCCAACAGTTACTAACAGTGTGATCATCACCCATAACAGTCGGCAAGACACTTATTTGTAACAGCAATTATTCCAACAGCTACTAATAGTGTGATCACCCATACCAGTCTGCATGGCGCTTATTTGTAACAGCAATTATTTCAACTGCTACTAACAGTGTTTATGAAGGAAAGAAAAACACGACAGTGGTTGGATAATTAAAAACAAAAACAAAAAGTATCATTACCACAGTAGTTCATCTTGAATTATAGGGATAGATTTTTTTTCTCCATCTTACTGTTCCTACCAGTGAAATATTGTTTGCAGTTTTTCTTGAATGATAGTGTGCTATTTTATGATTTTGTTCATGTTACATTGCCTACCAGTCAAATAATGATCGTAGGTTTTCTTGAATGATAGTGTGCCATTGTGTATTTTGTTCATTCCACAGTTCCTACCAGTCAAATAATGATTGAACCAGAGAGCAGGCGCAATGACCGGCGTAGACAGTTCTGTTCCAAGTATGAAGGCTACACTGACTTTTGTAACCGTGAGTACCTGTTTCTTTGTTGTTTTATGGAAAAATTTAAATAGTGTTTTTAAAGACGAGGAGTTCTGTTTCATTGCACTGAGTTTTACCCATAATAAAATGAAATGTGGTGTCCTTTTTGCGCTGTTGGCTCATCAGAGATATGATGCTTGACTAATTTTTTTAAATAGATCATTTGGGATTTGGTGGCTGATAGGGTCAGCATCATGTTAGCCGCCTTTACTTCCCAGGGCAAAACCATGTGAGGCTGGGACAAGCTGGTAGCCATGGTCAAATAAAAAAAAAGTCTTGATGCAGATTTGAACTCTAGACCTTCAGGCTGGCAGGTAAGCATCTAGCCGCTACACTACTGATGAGGCTTCCTAGTTTTATCACATATGGTTTGATTTCCCTTTGCAGAAGGCTGGCTATCCGCTGAGAGCACCACACAAAGTACAAAGTGTCTGGGTGCGATCCCAAGGGATCACTGAAATACCTGTACTCGCAGACTAAAGAATGGTGAAAAATCCAACGTAACATTCAGAGCATGAGGCAAATGGCTGAACGCGCCAGTTATAGAAGAAACAAATTTCATGGACCCGTTTCCACGCCTGGAGGCGTATAGGGCTAGACTATATCCGGCCACCTTTACTTCCCAGGATTGCACTTGTTACCCACTGACTCAATGCTGGGTCGACCTGTTAGCTATTTAAAAAAAAAGTCAGGCTCCTTCAGACTAATGAAAGGATGGGGTAAGACCTAACGCATCGCATTTACCGCAGACACTCTCTGTTTAATGTAACTTTTTCTGCATGTCCTTTTTCTGCAATCGACTTTAAAATAGAAGTTGGTGCATTATGTTGTGGTTTCAGTGACATTTGCCTTTCAGCGCAATGAATCTGATTCAGCAAACTCCTAATTTGTTGCCTTTTATGACATGCTTGTTAGGCGTCAAAAGTTATGTTGGAATAGATGCGTGGCAAATATTGATTACTGAAGCAACAGTTAAAGCCAAGATGATTTCCCTTTGCAGAAGGCTGGCTATCCGCTGAGAGCACCACACAAAGTACAAAGTGTCTGGGTGCGATCCCAAGGGATCACTGAAATACCTGTACTCGCAGACTAAAGAATGGTGAAAAATCCAACGTAACATTCAGAGCATGAGGCAAATGGCTGAACGCGCCAGTTATAGAAGAAACAAATTTCATGGACCCGTTTCCACGCCTGGAGGCGTATAGGGCTAGACTATATCCGGCCACCTTTACTTCCCAGGATTGCACTTGTTACCCACTGACTCAATGCTGGGTCGACCTGTTAGCTATTAAAAAAAAAAGTCAGGCTTCTTCAGACTAATGAAAGGATGGGGTAAGACCTAACGCATCGCATTTACCGCAGACACTCTCTGTTTAATGTAACTTTTTCTGCATGTCCTTTTTCTGCAATCGACTTTAAAATAGAAGTTGGTGCATTATGTTGTGGTTTCAGTGACATTTGCCTTTCAGCGCAATGAATCTGATTCAGCAAACTCCTAATTTGTTGCCTTTTATGACATGCTTGTTAGGCGTCAAAAGTTATGTTGGAATAGATGCGTGGCAAATATTGATTACTGAAGCAACAGTTAAAGCCAAGATGATTGACTATATTACACCAGGTGCTAACCCCTGTGGCTTGGTTTCTGCAGAATGGCCACCCACTTGCTGAAAGTGTCACACAAACTCCTTAGCATTGGTGACTTTATTACACCAGGTGTTACCCCATGTGGCTTGGTTTCTGCAGAATGGCCACCCACTTGCTGAAAGTGTCACACAAAGCACAAACTCCCTAGCATTGGTGACTTTGTTACACCAGGTGGTAACCCATGTGGCTTGGTCTCTGCAGAATGGCTAGCTGTCTGCCCTGAGTGTCGCACAGAGCATGAACTCCCTAGCATTGGTGACTTTATTACACCAGGTGGTAACCCATGTGGCTTGGTCTCTGCAGAATGGCTAGCTGTCTGCCCTGAGTGTCACACAAAGCATGAACTCCCTAGCATTGGTGATGATAACCAGAGATCTCTATTAAGGTTGCACCCATGAAACAGAATGATGGATCCAAGAAATAAACCCCTGTTCTTCGGAAGACAGCTTGACTACTTCATCACGAAGAACGTCCAAGAGGGGCCAGAAGTTGAACACAGCCAGTTGCCAATAAAAATTAATTACAGTTGTCAGCTGTTTGTTGTTTTTTTGATGTCGTTGAATTTATCTACAGCTGCGAGTGTGGATGATGAGCTGAAGGCAATATCTGTGGCCAGCAAGGAGATGAAGGGACACGAGATATTTAATGTTCCTGTGATCATTATTCCAGGTAAGATACCATAAATAGTAGTGGGGGATAGGGGGCAGTTGGGACCGCGTTAGCGCAGTCGATAAGAGGCTCGCTTTCAAATCTAGCTGAGATTCACTGCAGCCCGCGGTTGGTGTTTGAAACCAGACGGTTCCCGGGGCTCACCCAGCCTCTATGAAATGGGTACCAGAGTTGACACTCTGGGGTAAATGGAGGAAAGTCGCTGTAGCTACAGAGTTACCTGCGAATGGTGACACAGGCGGACGATTCTTATTAACTGTCCGCACTGGTGGCAGAGCACTTATGGTTTATAACCGTGTGCAATGACGCTGGTTCACATCTCCCGACTTTACCTTTATCTTTTAAGGGTCAGTTTAACAAAGATGTCATAAATATTACAAACATGTAATAATTGACACCAAAATTATTCAGTTAAGTATGTTTACCAGCAATGTTTTACCAGGGTGAAACATGCATGTTATCAACAAAAAAGAAAATCTAATCGCAGAAATGAAATGTCTGCAACAAATCCTAAGTGTTAGGAAGACAGTACTAGATTTTTTAAAATAATATTGAAACAAATTGGACCAGAACCATTGCTAAAAAAAATATCATTAGTTGTAGAACACAGTTTCCAGTACTTAATTCTGGAATATGGCTGTACATAATTATTTCCAGAATTTGGCTTATTGTCATTAGTTATAGAGTTCCTCAGTTTACTGTTAAGATATAGAGACAGTTGGACGAGACTGATGTTTTGTTTCCCTCCACAGGGCTCAATCACAACACGTTTGTACACACACTCCAAACAACCCTGATGCAACCAGGCATCAAGGTGGAGAATGTGGCGGTGAGTATTAAAGCTTCGTCAATTGGCAGTATCCCCCATGTTGGTTTGTCGGGGAAGGGAGGGGGAGACTTGAGGAGGGTAAGGGGATAGACCTAACAGTTTAAATGAATAAGTGATTTTCTTTCTTTCTTTTTTTTCCGGAGGGATAAGAATTAGACATGCAGGTTCCTTTGAAATATTCTGCATTTTTGTTGTTAACATCTCAAACCGGTTTTAGAATATTTAATTTTGTACAGTTTTACAAGGTTAATCTTTAACAAAAAAATAAAAATCAGACTAAGTGATTAAGCCATTCCTTCTGCTCTAAAAGTCATAGGTTCAATTCATGGGCTTTTTTTTTTGGAGTTGCAGTTTTTGTGGAGATGGCTGAGTGATTACCGCTAGAATTACTGAGTTTGTGTTTTCTGGCTTTTGACAGACAATAATTCATCCTGCAGAGACAGGCCCATCCATATGGATTAAAACCTGGTCGTGAAGTCTGTTCAGTTAATATTTAACCGTTTTTTTAAACAGCAGCAACAAAATACTGTATTAATTACACCTATACAACTGTGCATGACTCATTCATCATCATCATCATCATCATATGCCATACAGATAAACATAGGCAGTCACGGTTTACCATCCCACACAATACTTACACTGATCAGGTTAGTGATCTTGTCCCACTTTATCTCTATATCGTTATGATATGATATTCGTATCTTTGCCTTCTCCTTTCTGTTTTTCTATCAGTGTTGCCAGTTTTCACTGTTCTTGAACCTAATCATTCCTACAAAGTTAAAAAAAAAAAAAAAGCAAAAAAAACATGCTTTTCCACTCTTTCAGGTCTGTTGGGCATATAATACTAGTCCTATTCTTGATAGAATTTGTGGCTGATATGGTCAGCATCAGGCCGACAGACAGCATTTACTTCTTCTCAGGACTTTACCTGATACCCATTTAAGGCTTGGTCAACCTTGGAGTCTAGGTCATTTTGAAAGGAGTCTGGATTCCTGCAAAGGAAATTTAAATATCCTGACCCACACAGTTCATGACGACTTCACCAGCCAGGTCGGCCTCGATCCTCAGGGTTAAGACCTCTTGTTCTACACTAGCCTAAAAAGTGGTGGACACAGGCTGTCAAGTCAGTGATATATGTAACCCATTTCTGATGGCAGGTCTTTTGGGATGAGAAGCTGCCTGAGTATGGAGAGTTAGCTGCCCTGTTTGGCTTCCAGAATTACAGTTTGGAGACCAGCACTTCCTACTCAGGTATCTATGAATATTTATGTGTGTTAAAATATCAATTGTTGACATGTTTTAATATATTATTTATTTGTGTAAGTGAATGGAATTAATAAATATACATTTAGTGATTACTTCCCTTCATATAAAACAAAACCAAACAAATCACCTTTGTATAAAATAATAAGTCTAAATGTGAATAATCCATCTGTTTAGTGACTTTGGACATGCAGTGACTCAATAGCTAGCAGGCTTGCTATCTACCTGGTTGTCATAGGTTTCAACCCCTGGATTCTTATAAAAGCTTACCAAGACTACAAATGTCCTCTGCTTCTTTGTCTCCACCTCTAGTTTCGTAGAATTATAACAGTGCATTTCTGTTTACAGATTTTAAAAAGATGGTAACGGGGCAAAAGGGTTGAAGTCTAAATTGAGTTTGAGAAGAAGAAGACACCAGAAACGTTATTTTATTTCTGTTTAATATTCATATTTGGTTTTCTTGATTATTGCTAATGTGTAAAGCATCACATATCCTAGGATGTGGTAGTTTGAGAGTGATTGCTACTGATTGGAAGAGGGCAGCCTGTGTTCTGTACACATGTCATTGGGGAAAAGGAGGTTCTTGGAAGGGGTTTGTAGAACTCTCTTAGAAGACTCTTTGTGGACTCTCTTAGAAGATCTGAAGGAGTATGAGGGAATAAAAGTGCAGAATTTTTTTGGCTACATAAGTGATAGTATAGTAAAGAAACACTCAGATTGGATGAAGGAGTCATTCTTAAGACTATAATTAAATGAATTGCTGATAGAATACACAAATTGAGATGAAATAACAATTGTAAGAATGTGTGTACATTGAATTAAGAGTTGATTCGGCAAGGAGGGACATATGAAGGAAAGAGAACGATGTGCATATAAGCTGTGTACTACATCATGTACACTTTAAGACATTTACTATAGGAGACGGGCATATATGGGCATGCCTGATGTGATGTGATATTGATTCTCACATCATAATCAGAAAGAGGAGACACTGGTTTCATCCTTGATAAGGGATGGAGAATTTTTCTGTCCGGGGGCAAAATTTAAGATTACGACTTGCACACTTTGTGGCAACTGCCCTGGCCAGGCAGCCTGAAATTCTCAGGCTGATGATTGTCCTGTCCTGCACTGCCCTCAGAGTGGTAAATACAATGTACAGACAGATGTAAACCCTGATCAAGTGCTGTCTACATGGCATTGTGTTAGTAAAGCAACTGTGGAGTGCGGATGAGCCATGTGCCAGACTGATATACTGAATGCTGTATGAGAAGTAAGATGTTTGGAAGAACCAAGTGATGACTGTTAATCTGTAACCAGACTGCAAGAACAACATGTTAAAAGCCGTGTAGTCACAGAAGACCACTATGCAGGATGCTGTAAAAGAATAAGAAACCAACACAAAAGTTGTGTTGTCAGCTGCTGCACACTGAGGGATTTACTGAGCAGGGAATCCAAGTACTTATGGACTGAATGGTTCGATGTGCAAACAGGATACTGTATCCACTAACTAAGTAATTGTCTGTAATTGCCCCATGCTCTGAAGGTCACGGATTCTTTCCCACACAGTGTTCGTGCTTTGTGCAACTCTCTTGTCTCTTGGTAGCAGTTAGCCATTTTGCGCAGAGACCGAGCCATATGAGATAAAATCTTGTGCAATGCAGTGTTTTACAAACAAGTGAAAGTAAAGTGTTTTCCTTTCTTGTTTCAGAACAATTGATGAGAGCAGTCAGGTTGTCAAGAACGGTGTTCCCCAAGGCAGTAAGTTGCTAAACTTGTTGCATTTTCTGCTTCTGTTTGTTTCCGTTTTTCTATGACAGTTTACTTTTACGTTTTTTTGCCTTTCACCCCCCAGTGGAACTTGGATAAGTACTGTTGCCTTTTTCATAGATCACATAGATATTTTCAAATGTCTGCGCTCTCCCATGATGAGAGCTGTGAGGAGATTGTTAGTAAATATACTTGTGTTCCGCAAAGGTATATAATGGTTGTAAATATACTTGTGTTCCGCAAAGGTATATAATGGTTGTAAATATACTTGTATTCCGCAAAGGTATATCATCATCATGTAGCAGGTCCTTTCCAGAACATCGCTCTCATCACGGTCTGTCTGAAAGAAACTCGGTCTCTTGCCAGCTCTCCTGCCTCATGCACTTTCATACTCAAGGAGTCACTTATATCCTGTGCCCATCTTTGTGTCGCTCGGCCCCTGCCCCTCCTTCCTGGTACCATACCTTTTGCTATAATTTTTTTCAATCCAATGTGGCGCTTAAAATGACCAAAATACTTCAGCTTCCGACAAAGGTATATAATGGTTGTAGTTATGCTTGTGTTCCGCAAAGGTATATAATGTTTGTAAATATTCTTGTATTCCGCAAAGGTATATAATGGTTGTAGTTATGCTTGTGTTCCACAAATGTTTATAAAGGTGATAATAAAAAAAAATTGTTTGATAATGTTGACAGAAATTAAAATGCATTTCTTCTTTTCTATATTTTTCCTTAAAATGGTGGTTGGTACATTCTGTTGTGGTTTACAGCTCAGCTCTGATATTTAGTTAGTTGCTTTTCATGACATATTTCTTAGGGAGCAGAGGGCCTATTTTACATTAAAAAAAATTTTTTAAACCAAAATATGAGGCTCTAGAAAGCCCACCTGGAATAATATTATAAATGCGAGTGATCTTGGATGGTGATAATTATGATGATAGTGTTGCTGAAGAAGATGATGATAATGTGAGTGAAGAAAATTGTGATGTTTATTATAATATTAATGAGGGGGATGATGGAGATGTGTCCTTTTTTGTTTTGCAGCAGCCATTGATTGTGCTAATTATTATTCTTTTTTTTTTTGGGGAGGGTTGGGGGGGGGGGGGGGGGGATAGTTATGATGATAATGTTGCTGAAAAAGTCGATGATAGTGTTGATAATAATATAAGTGAAGAAGATGATGATAATTCAAATGATAATGTGATAATTATAAGAATATTGAGTAATGATAATGATGACATGTCACCACCATTCTTCTGCAGCAACACATGATGGTGATAATTATAGTGATAATGTAAGTGATGATGTGATAATTATAAGAATATTGAGGAGGATGATGATGATGACATGACACCACCCTTCATCTACAGCAACACATGATGGTGATAATCATAGTGATAATGTAAGTGATGATGTGATAATTATAAGAATATTGAGGAGGATGATGATGATGACATGACACCACCCTTCATCTACAGCAACACATGATAATCATAGAAGAAGACCTTCTACTGGCCCCTGACTTCATGTCTTTCATGGCCCAGAGTCTTCGTGCTATTAATAACGACCCGACTTTAGCTGGAGCCACTGCCTGGAACATCAATGGTAAGTTGCCAGATTGGCTGTGAGTGCCAGATTCTCAGCACATTTTCAACCAAGTCAGATGTGCTGACCATAATATTGATTTCTTCTTTTTCTTCTTTCTCTTCTTCTTCTTTCTCTTTTTCTTCTTTCTTCTTCTTCTTTCTTCTTCTTCTTTCTTTTCTTCTTCTTCTGTTTTCTCTTTTTCTTTGTTTTCTTCTTGTTCTTCTTCTTCTTCTTCTTCTTCTTCTTCTTCTTCTTCTTCTTCTTCTTCTTCTTCTTCTTTGCATTTATTGGCTGTAAAACTCTAGCGAAAATTCTGATTGTCCACTTCTGGACTTTGTTCCAAGACTTAAGTGTTGTGTGGACATCAGTGTTGTGTGGACATCAGTGTTGTGTTGTGTGGACATCAGTGTTGTGTGGACATCAGTGTTGCAGATCTTGCATGCTTATAGTCTCCTGGTTCCCCACCTTTCGGGCAAATACATTCTGACTTTAAAGGAAACAGCCCTAATAAGTCAACCTTTAGGACATGCTTGCTAAAGAGACAGTTGATCTATAACTTTTTCACTATTGGAGGACCCCAGAACCACACAGGAATAATTTGATATGAAATAGTGAAGTAAAATAAAGCCAGAAATTAATCCACTCAACTTTGTCTAAGAAGCTCCCCCCAAAAAGGGGAGGGTGGGGGTTAAAAAAAAAAACACACACACACACAGCACACATGAGCACACACAGAGAGGGAGAGAGAGAGGGAGCCATAGTTTTGGCAGTTGCCTTTGTTGAAAAACACCACAATAAAAAGGGGGAGAGAATCCAGGGCTAGAGTCCCACCGAGTGGAATGACGTGAAAAACTATAAAATATAGGGAAAAGAAAAGATAATATCAGCAGATAGATTGTAGATGTTCCTAGTGGAATTGTGGCTGACTGAATCTGTAGATGTAAACGATGATATAAATGGAATAGCGATGTGAATATTGAGATTGTAAATGTAATAGTGAAAATGTCAATTTAATAGTGAGAATTAGTTAGTTAGTTGCGTATCCTTTACAGGACGTTGCAGAACCAACCCTAACAGCCCCTGGCTGTTGTGTGGTTTCTCTAGGCAATTTACATCCAGTAGTTTGCCATTGCTTTCTGGACGGTCGGCTTTCTTGATACCACTGTCGAAACCAACGCAAGGCGCATTGCCCGCAGCTGGGATAGAACCTGGCATCCCGGCATTACGAAGCGAAGCGTTCGCATCGACTTAGCCACAGAGCCGACAATAGTGAGAATATAAATGTGAATAATGAGATTGTAAATATTATAGTGAGAATGCAGTAATGAAAATGAATAATGAGATTGTAAATATTATAGTGAGAATGCAGTAATGAAAATGAATAATGAGATTGTAAATATTAAAGTGAGAATGCAGTAATGAAAATGAATAATGAGATTGTAAATTTTATAGTGAGAATGCAGTAATGAAAATGAATAATGAGTTTGTAAATATTAAAGTGAGAATGCAGTAATGAAAATGAATAATGAGATTGTAAATATTATAGTGAGAATGCAGTAATGAAAATGAATAATGAGATTGTAAATATTATAGTGAGAATGCAGTAATGAAAATTAATAATGAGATTGTAAATATTAAAGTGAGAATGCAGTAATGAAAATGAATCATGAGATTGTAAATATTATAGTGAGAATGCAGTAGTGAAAATGTAGGTTTCATCATCCATTGTGTACCGTTAGATGTCACATAGGGCTCCCATTTGATTCTTCCACTATGCTCTAATGCATGTGACTCTCGATTTCTGGCATGGAGTTCAACCAAGCTTTTTTAGCCTCTTGCAGTAATTTTCTTCTGAATGTTTTCCCTTGGACATTCTCTTTTTTTCAGACCGTTTGTTTCCTATTTCGGTGTTCAAATGTAGGTTTGCCTATCAAGAATGTAGATATGTCAAGTGAAATTGTAGATGTCAGTATTAAGAATGTAGATGTCTGTCGTGGGAATGCAGATGTCAGTAGCTGGAATGCCGATGTCAATAGTGGGAATGTAGATGTCAGTAGTGGGAATGTAGATGTCTGTAGTGGGAATGCAGATGTCTGTAGTAGGAATGTAGATATCAGTAGTGGGAATGTAGATATCAGTAGTGAGAATGCAGATGTCTGTAGTGGGAATGTAGATATCAGTAGTGAGAATGCAGATGTCTGTAGTGGGAATGTAGATATCAGTAGTGGGAATGCAGATGTCTGTAGTTGGAATGTAGATGTCAATAGTGGGAATGTAGATGTCAGTAGTGGGAATGCAGATGTCAGTAGTGGGAATGCAGATGTCAGTAGTGGGAATGCCAATGTCAGTAGTGGGAATGTAGATGTCAGTAGTGGGAATGCAGATGTCAGTAGTGGGAATGCAGATGTCAGTAGTGGGAATGCAGATGTCAGTAGTGGGAATGCAGATGTCAGTAGTGGGAATGCAGATGTCAGTAGTGGGAATGTAGATGTCTTTTTCTTCCTAGTGTTTACTGGCTGTAAAGTCCAGCAGAAAGTTCTGTTTGTTCTTCCACTTCTGAACTTTGTTCATCTTCCAGAACTTGAGTTTTGTGTGCACATCCATTTGACAGATCTGTCTGATTTATATGCAGACCATCTCTCATGTTGATGTACAACTTCAAAGGAAACACTCTGAATTAGTCATCTTTTCCAGCTTGCTTGTTGAGTGGGTGGGAAAAAAAAGAGGGGAGGGGGATGGGTCTGTTTTTTTAAATTGTAAATATGAATACTGTGAATCCCCTGTGTGGGTTCCGGGGCCCCATTTTGTGGGGAAAACAAGAATAGACCCACTGCCTCCACAAAAGCATGTCGTAAGAGTCGACTAATTAGGGAGCTTCCTTTGAAGTCGGAGTGCATCTGCCGGAGAGGCAAGGAACCAACAGTCTGTATTCAAGAGAATGAGATCTGTGAAACTGATGCACGCGCAACACTCAGGTTCTGGAGCAGGACTGCAGTTCAGTAGTGGACGAGCAACCAGAACTTTCCGCCAGAGTGTACAGCTGGTGAACGCGAAGTAGAAGAATAATACTGTGAATGTAGATGTGCCTATCAGGAATGTGTTTGTGAATAGTATGATTGTGAATGTGTGTACAAATATTGTAAACATTCTTTGGGATTTATTTACAGGATTTGAAGACCTATCTGGCAACAGTAGCTTGGTGTACAGGGTGCAGGAGTTCCCTGGCCTGGGGTTCCTCATGAAGTCGGAGATCCTTCAGAGTTTAATTAATTCCTGGAACAACTGCTGTAAAAATAGGTAATTTTACCTGCGAATCATTGCAGCATCTAGGTTAAATTGTTATGCTTCAGCACATTCGATGGATAGGGGTTGTAGTTGGTGCCATTCATTAGAAGTTAATGTTTAGAATTTGGAGTTGTTTAGATGTCTTACTGTGGTTAAACATTATTGTCTTCTGTTTATAATGATTGGCTGTAGTTAAAAATGATTTGCTGATGTTTAGAATGAGTAGCGGTAATGTTTTGAGCAAGTTGTAGTTAAAAATCATCCGGCAACTGGTGGGTATGGGCAGTACAGACATCTGCCATGACATTGACCATATCACCTATTGACTACTAACTGGTCAGTCAGATTATGATTTTAGCACCATACACTTAAAACAGTTTGAGACATTCAAACAGGTATTTTGTTGGTTTTACTAACCAACTTTCCGGTATTATTGTTACCAGAATGTTCTTTGTGAGCAAAATTGTGTTAACGAGTTCTTACTATAATATTTTTGTTTTTGTTTCTGAGTGCCAAACTTTGATGTCTGCAGGGCTTGGGTGGGCTGGCTGTCGGAATCCAGCGAACAGGAAATGCTAATGCCAGATGTTTCACGAGTCTACAGGAGTCCATTCTTTGGAGCTGAGGCTGCATCTGATTTAGCCAGGCGCCTGTTTGTCAAACCTCGGAGAACGTATTTGTGAGTTGCTGAATTTTGTAGAAAAATTGGGGGGGGGGGGAAGGGGGGGGGGGTAATTTTTGTTGTTGCCAAAAAACCAATTGAATATTTACAGCTTTTGCTGGCCGTACGAAATTATCAGTTTAATATTTAGCCTACTGTATTTGCTGACACCTTAGATTGTTGCTTATCAGACCAAATGATTTTTGCAGGTTTATTTGCCCCCTAGATCCGACATTTCCTACCATTGGTCTAAATTGTAATCCATAATCTATAGTTCTTTTTCTTGTTCCTCCATATTCACTGTTGAAAGTTCAGTCGGCATGCTTTGTTGTAGTTTACAGCTAGGCTGCCATATCTGCACATTTTGATCCAACAGCAGCCGCCTGATTGGTGACATTTTATGTCATGCTTGTAAAGGTGGTAGTACTAGGTTGGGGTGGCAGTACTAGGTTGGGGTGGTAGTACTATGTTGGGGTGGTAGTACTATGTTGGGGTGGCAGTACTAGGTTGGGGTGGTAGTACTAGGTTGGGGTGGCAGTATTAGGTTGGGGTGGCAGTACTAAGTTGGGTTGGTAGTACTAGGTTGGGTTGGTAGTACTAGGTGGGGTTGGTAGTACTAGGTGGGGGTGGCAGTACTAGGTGGGGATGGCAGTACTAGGTTGGGGTGGCAGTACTAGGTTATGGTGGCAGTACTAGGTGGGGGTGGCAGTACTAAGTGGGGGTGGCAGTACTAGGTTATGGTGGCAGTACTAGGTGGGGGTGGCAGTACTAGGTGGGGGTGGCAGTACTAGGTGGGGGTGGTAGTTCTAGGTTATGGTGGCAGTACTATGTTGGGGTGGCAGTACTATCTTGGGGTTGCAGTATTAGGTAGGGGTGGCAGTACTAGGTTGGGGTGGCAGTACTATCTTGGGGTTGCAGTATTAGGTAGGGGTGGCAGTACTAGGTTGGGGTGGCAGTACTAGGTTGGGGTGGCAGTACTAGGTTGGATTGGCAGTACTATGTTGGGGTTGCAGTATTAGGTAGGGGTTGCAGTACTAAGTTGGGGTGGCACTACTAGTTTAGGGTGGCAGTACTAGTTTGGGGTCACAGTACTAGGTTAGGGTCACAGTGCTAAGTGAGAGATAATGAAGAATCTGTGACGCTAACATGACTGTGTGACAGAGAAGCTAAGCTTGGTAGCATGACAATGCTCTCTTAGAGATAAAGACAGGAGATATTATAACCAACTCCCCATTAGAACAATCAGTAGAGGTATCATGGAGTGGCTGCTTCATTAAAGGACTGAGCACGCATGGGAATGCCCAGTGTGCAAAGACGTCGATTTTAATAACATAACATAAGAAGGTCGCAGTGAGTCTATTTTTGTTAATTCCCCAATGCCCCCCCTCCCCACTACCCCCACCAATAGGGCTCCCTGAATCCACACACGAAAAATCTGAAGTAATGACATATACATTTGTATCTTTTCCAGAGATGCTGAGCCACCGCGGCTGAGCCTGGAGTCAGTAATAGGGCAGCAGTACGATGCCTTTCTCCAGACTCAGATTATGAGGGGTGAGGTGATCCCTCCTGAAGATTTGGTCGAATGTGTCAGAGGGCAGCCCACACTGCCAGATTTCTCCCAGTTGAGCAAGTAAACACTCTAAATATGTTGGATTATAGAAATGAATGTTGTGACTGCAGATGGGAGGTAGAGTCTATGTGAAAGTTGAGATTGTAGCTGAAAAGGTAGATATGTGTGTGAATGTTAAGATTGTATTTAAGAAAGTAGACATCTCTGTGAAAATTGCGATTGTAGAGCATAATGTTGAGATTGTAGTTGAGAAAGTAGAAATTTCTGTAAATAATGAGATTGTTGATGAAAAGGTAGACATCTGTGTGAATATTGTGATTGTAGAGGGGAATTTTTTATACCAGCTTTAGGTTACCAATATCAGACTTTGATGTTGACAAAAGAACACGAAAGAAAACTAACCACCTTTGAGATGGGATGTTTGAAAGGGGCTGTAAATTGAGATTGAGTTAAAAAACGACGTGATCACAAGAACTGTTGGAACAACACCCATCGTCAGATGTATTGAGAAGCAAAGAATGAATTGGTTTGGCCATCTAATGAGAATGAAACTAGCGAGGCCAGCAACAAGAGGGTACAGCCTGAAAATCAAAACCCTAAGAGGCAGGGAAAGACCGAGAAGAAGATGGATTGAAGGAGTCACTGACACATTGAAACTGCATAGAATCACATCATATCAAGCGACTGAGCGCACGCTGGCTCGGTTGCTGATCGTCCGATGATCTACGATGCCTAGCGGCATAAGCAGGACATGTAGAGATGATGCAGATGAATGCTGTGATTGTAGGTACAAATGTAGAGGGGCTCTGTGTGAATGTTGAGATGGTAGATGAGAATGTAAAATGGCTTTATGTGAATGTTGTGATTGTAGATATGAAAGTAAAAGGACTTTGTGTGTATGTTGAGATTGTAGATAAGAAAGTAAAAGGACTTTATGTGAATGTCGAGATATGTAGATAAGAAAGCAAAAGGGCTTTATGTGAATGTTGAGATTGTAGATAAGAAAGTAAAAGGGCTTTATGTGAATGTTGAGATTGTAGATAAGAAAGTAAAAGGGCTTTATGTGAATGTTGAGATTGTAGGTAAGAAAATAAAAGGGCTTTATGTGAATGTTGAGATTGTGGATATGAAAGTAAAAGGGCTTTATGTGCATGTTGAGATTGTAGATAAGAAAGTAAAAGGGCTCTATGTGAATGTTAAGATATGTAGATAAGAAAGTAAAAGGGCTTTATGTGAATGTTGAGATTGTAGATAAGAAAGTAAAAGGGCTTTATGTGAATGTTGAGATTGTAGTTGAGAAAGTAAAAGGGCTTTATGTGCATGTTGAGATTGTAGATGAGAAAGTAAAAGGGCTTTATGTGCATTTTGAGATTGTAGATGGGAAGGTACTCTGTACAAATGTTGAGATTGTAGATGGAAGTGTAGAGGTGTACAGTAACAAAACTAATAGAAGACAGTTCACCCATTTACTGTAGAAAGCAAACTAAATACTTTTAGAGGTCGGGGAAAACCACAAGAAAGTTCACAGCAGTGACAAATCTGAGGTGGAATTGTGACAAATCTGAGATGGAATTGTGACAGGTTCAGGAATGTCTTGCCAGTCTGCAGGGTCACTAACTTGTCATGACACACCAAGTAAGCCACGGAAAGTGCTGGTGTTATACCATTTGTACATTAGGCATATAAGAGCTAGACCCATCATTATTTGATAGTGGAAGTGACCAACTTCTTGACAACCATCTTTACTTCCCAAGACATTTCCTGTCACCCATTATGTGGCTGGATCAACAAACAAGCACCCAAGGCCTCCCAGACATTCAACCCTTTCTTTCACACTCCCGTTGTATTTAAAAAAAAAATAATGCATATTATGTCAATATAAATACAAAATACACAGTATGAGTATAAGGTAAAAACAGAACAAAGGGAGATTGTATCCGTCATAAAACTTTACCTTATTATTGATTCAAATGTTACGACATGAATGACTTTTATTTTCCTTATACTAACCGACATAGTGTGTTCTAGGTTTCCTTTCTGTACTCCAAGTTTCTTGTCTGTATTCCAGGATTCTTCTCTATATTCCAGGCTTCCTCTCTATATTCCAGGCTTCCTCTCTATATTACAGGCTTCCTCTATACATTCCATGCCTCCTTTCTATATTCCAGGCTTCCTCTCTATATTCAAGGCTTCCTGCCTATATTCCAGGCTTCGTCTCTATATTCCAGGCTTCCTCTCTGAATTACAGGCTTTCTCTCCATATTCTAGGCTTCCTTTCTATATTCAAGGCTTCCTGTCTAAATTCCAGGCTTCCTCTCTGTATTCCAGGCTTCCTCTCTATATTCCAGGCTTCCTTTCTATATTCCAGGCTTCCTTTCTATATTCCAGGCTTCCTCTCTATATTCCAGGCTTCCTTTCTATATTCCAGGCTTCCTCTCTATATTCCAGGCTTCCTCTCTATATTCCAGGCTTCCTTTTCTTTATTCCAGGCTTCCTTTCTATATTCCAGGCTTCCTCTCTATATTCCAGGCTTCCTCTCTATATTCCAGGCTTCCTTTCTATATTCCAGGCTTCCTTTCTATATTCCAGGCTTCCTCTCTATATTCCAGGCTTCCTCTCTATATTCCAGGCTTCCTTTCTATATTCCAGACTTCCTCTCTATATTCCAGGCTTCCTCTCTATATTCCAGGCTTCCTCTCTATATTCCAGGCTTCCTCTCTATATTCCAGGCTTCCTCTCTATATTCCAGGCTTCCTCTCTATATTCCAGGCTTCCTCTCTATATTCCAGGCTTCCTCTCTATATTCCAGGCTTCCTCTCTATATTCCAGGCTTCCTCTCTATATTCCAGGCTTCCTTTCTATATTCCAGGCTTCCTCTCGTGATCTACTACCACCAGGAAAGCACCAGTGATGTGGAGCTTTTGCTGAAGCTTTGCAACTGCTTTGGCTTGGTTATCGTAGAGAAGAATCAGCCCAAAAATTTACACAGAGGATTATTAAGGTTTGTATTTATCATCATCATCATAGTAACACAACACCACATACTGTTGAGTTACCAGCTGCTGTTAAATGTCTGATCAGATCGTATGACTTTTGTTGGTTTGATGCACTGGGCTTGTATTCACATATTTAAGGCAACTCCAGTCAGCCAGATTTTGTACGCAGCTGTTTTTTGGGCCAGCCTCTTTCTATATCCCCAAGCCATATAGTATAATTTTGGAGAGGCGGTCAGATCTTATTACATGCCTGTCTGATTGCATTTTCTTGCTTTTTTAGTGTTGTTTAAAATTCTAAAAAGGTAAAGAAATAAGAGAAATGTCTCTGGTTTCACCAGTTACTTATTAAGCACATCCTGCAAAGGAGCAGGGAGAGAATCATCAAACAGGCACTGAACTATGAAACAAATGGACTGCAGAATAAGGGCACCCAAGAGAAACCCTAAATGAATGTCGATAAGAGAGGCTAAAGATGCTGGTCTGGATTTCATCCGTGATATCAAAAGGATTGCACAGGATAAAAGGGATTGGAGGGCTAGACTATGAGCCCTATGTGATGTGTAATGGCACAACATGATGATAATGGAAAGAGGTTCATAGTTGTCACTGTGTTCAGTGAGGTAGTGTTAGCCTGGTAAATCAATTATTGTTTGAATTCTTATATTCTGGCCCTAAATGACTCATTTTGATACTTAAGACAGTTTATCCCCTCAGACAATTTTACACAAGATCTTCTTCTTCTGCTTCTTTTTCTTCTTCTTCTGTTTATTCTTTTTCTTCTCTTTTTCTTTCCTTCCTTTTCCCACTCTTTTTCTTTCAGATTATCTCCATCTTTGTTTTTGAGGCAAATATTATACTATCCTGCTGCATTCAGTTACAGGTAAGTGTTATCTAATATTTATCAACATTTGTTGATATTAACTTTCATAATTTTTTGTGTCTTTCAGATTTGTCTACCAAGAACATGATGTCTTCCTTGTGGGATCCATGACCCCGTTCTTCAAAGCTCAGTTAAACACAACAGACATTCTTTCCCCATCACACATTTCCACGTGACCTGTAAATAATGTCCGGCTTGCAAGACATTAGCGTCTGGTTCTAATAACAACCAGATACAAATGACTATCAGACAGACCTACATAGTCAGCTCAGTGTCATTTTATTTATATTCATCAGCATTTCATTCCTTGAATCTGAAATTTTACTGAGAGACATCATCTTGCTTTGCACATTTTGTTTTGTTTTTGGTTTCGGGTTTATTTTGATGTAGTTATAATCATGTCATACTGCATATCTCAAATCTGTAGTAGTAAGGTGCCTCACATGGCATCCATGTCGGTAGTTGGAGGACAACCATTCTACAAGGCAAAATTGCTTAGACATCTCGCTAGCAATTTAATTAGCTGTTATAAAATTAGGCTCGTCTAACAATTGGCCAGGTATTCAGTAATTTATTGCCAAATTAATATTTGGCTGATTTAAACAATAAGAATTATAGTTTAATGTGGGTTCTAAGACCTATTGTTTAAAAAAATATATATATAAATAAAAGGATAGCCCTTGCTGCTAAACAAGCATGTTGTAAACTGTGGCTAATTAAGAGTTTAGTGTGACTGGATGTGTTGGGATGAAAAACACAGATATCAGAGTCTAACTGTAAACCTCAACACAGTGTTTCAGCTGACTTTTTAAGTGTGAAGGCGAGAGAAGCTGAAAGGTAATTTTGTGGTTGTGGGATGTATAGGAGATTATGGATAGTTTGATTAACAGTTAGCTCATTGGCTAATAGTCAACTGAACAGCTCGTCAAAAAATCTTTGGCTGAATGTTAAATTAACAATTAGCTGGTAGTCCAGTTAACAAATAAAGTGCTTGTCAAATAAACCTTGGGCTGAATGTTAAATTAACAGTTACTCTATTAAACAAATCAGCTGACTGTCTTATAAACCTTGGGGCTGAATGTTAAATTAACCTTTGGCTCATTTTAAAATAAGTAGTTCACTATTTTTTGAGTAATTAAACAATTTATTGACGGGTAATCTGTATCCTCTTCAAATTGTTGTTGACACACAAGGCATTCACAAGTGATCTCCATTGCTGCCAGGTCTGCTACTTTTCTGCCCATTGTATCCCATATCGGTTTACATTCATTCATTTCCCATTCTGTTGTCCTTCTTCAGGTTTTCTTAGGTCGTCCACGTCTCATTTTCCCATCTGCTGACCTCCGAAGAGCTGTTTTTGCAAGAGTGTCACAGGGCATTCTGCAAATATATCCAAACAATCTATATCATCTTACTTTGATAACATCTGCCAGTGATGCACATTCTGTTTTCCTCCTCAGTTCTTCATTTGTGATCTTGTTTGGCCAAAATATTCATAGAATTCTCCTTAAACATTTATTTTGAAAAGTCTCAAGTTTACGTATAATTCCCGCTGTAATTTTCCAGCATTCACTGGAAATAAATGTAGCAGCTATCAGCTAAATACACCACTGTTTATATTATGTGAACAGCTAGTTGTACATTTAAATAGTTGTGTGTGTACATTAATGTTAATGAATCATTATCAGGCATTAATTAGACCAGAAAAGATGGCATTTATATTATTAAAGATATTATTGTACAACTGGAGGACACAGTCTGACCCAGGCCTGTCAAACTGGGGGTCCAGTGAGGGCCAAATGGGTCCAATTTTGTCGCCTTAAAAATATACTTAAAGAAGTTTAGGATCATCGCCAGTGCTACAGAGTCTGTGCACTGTGCTGAACTTCTCCGGGCTCAGACTTGAGGTAGAAGAAGAACGGAGCACTTACAATTTACTACCCTTGTGCCATGATGTTGGTCCATTGTTCAAACTTCAAACTCAAACTTGTATAACCTTGAGGGCCTCGCATGACAACTAACTGGTGTCCATTTAATAAAAATGTTTGCAGAATATTTCCTTTGTGCAGGCAGCAGGTGTGCTTGCGAAGGGCCGCAACTGCAGCCAGCCAGTTCGACATGTCTGGCCTAAACAATTATGTTAGAGTGTTGTCTGAATAAGTTCTCAGAATAACTAGTTTCATGATTATGTTCGATCCTCACGTGTGTTCTGGGCCCCTTGGGGGGAAAACAAGAATAGACCCACTGCCTCCCCAACAAGCATGTCGTAGGAGTCAACTAATTGGGGGCTTCCTTTGAAGTTGGAGTGCATCTGTCTGATGATAATAAATCAACAGTCTGCTTACAAATAAGTCAGATCTGTAAAACGGATGTATATGAAACACTCAAGTTCTGGAATAAGACTAAAGTCCAGAGGTGGAAGAACAACGAGAACTTTCAGCTAGAATTAACATCCATTGAAGAAGAAGAAGGTTTGGTTAGAGATATCAGTGGTTGTTGTTCTAGGAACGATTAATCTCATTAAAGTGAACTAGTGAGATATCTCTGCATAAGTAGTAATAGAAAATATCAGTGTTTTTAGTTTTAGGATTTGCTATTCTACTGGAGATATCAGTGTTTTTAGTTCTGGGAGAGATAGCAGTACTTGTAAATCTGGAGGGATCAGTGTGTATAGTTTGGGAGAGATATGAATGTCTGTGGTTTTAGGAGAGATATCAAGTTTAGAAGACATTTCAGCATTTGCAGTTTAGAATAGATATCAGTGTTTGTAGATCTGGAGAGATCAGCATTTATAGTTCAGGAGGGATAGAAGTGATTGTAGTTCTGTGAGAGGTATCAGTATTTATAGTCCTAGGAAAGATATCAATCTTTGTAGTTCTAGGACATATATAAATGTTTGTAGTTCTGGGAGAGATATCAGTAGTATGTAGTTCTAGTAATTTGTAGTTTTTAAGATTGAAATCATTTATGCATCTAGTGCTGTACAGTTATTCATCTAGATGTTTGAATTATGCATTTACTTGAATCTGCAGGTAGATTTTGATTTTGGGTTTGGTTTTTCCAGTAGTCCTTAGAAGTCAAAATGTCAGGCATGATGTTAGCCACATCATCCAACAAGTGCAGACTGGGCAGTACAAATGTGGGAATCGCATCATATGCTCATTGTGCCAGTGCATGAAAAGGGCCCATTACTATTATTATGATTGCATTTATTTATTGAACTAAAATAAATTAAGCAGTATATAAGGAATATTTATTCTTAGTTTATTTCAACATGCTTGTTAGCTTTAAGATTTTTTCGGTTATTAAATTAAGTTAAGAACTGACATCATAGTACGTGGGACATTCCCATAAGCGCTGCACTCCCATCTTCAGCAGCCAGTTTGGAGTTCGAATGCAAATGGTAGCAGTCTGATTTCATATACATCTTGCCTTTTCTCTGAGTGTTGGCCAAATCCTCTGGGCACCATTCTCTTTGGACCATAATGATTGTTTGTGGCTCCCTGCTGTTCACTCGCTTCCAAAAAGCCTTAACCACATCTAGCTTATCGTACGTAAGTTTACCACCAAGTGGTGCAGAACCAGCCAGTTTGCCCGTCCATTTGTTTCCCATCCCACCTGCATGCCTCTTTTTGTGTGTGGCCACCTTCACAATGGTAGTCAGCTGCAGTATACATCTACTGCTGCCTTTGGGACAGTTACATTGAGCTACTATTAGTCTATCCACTGCTGCCTTGGGGACAGTTACATTGAGCTACTATTTTTCTATCCATATTTGGACCTAGTACTCTGTACATAATGCACCAGTTATGTAACAAGAGTCACTTTCTCTTTGACTCAACCATTCAGGTTTCAAATCCATTACTTTTTTGCCGACTTAAATATTCTGATTTTAAATCCATTACTTATTCACTGATTTAAACGTTCAGATTTTAAATCCAAATGAAAAGATTTGTTTTTGTTGATAATCAGATCTGCCAATTTTATTGCTTTTTTGTTTTGTTTTATTGTATATGCCAGGTAAATGACTGAATCACATTATTTACCTGATGCCATTGTTATTTTTGTTTTGTTTTATTGTCATTATTTATTTTCTGTAGTATCATTGTTTCGGCTCTGTGGCTAAGTCGATGCAAATGCTTCATAATGCTAGGGTGCCAGGTTCGATCCCAGCTGCGCGCCATGCGCTTTGGGTTGGTTTCAACAGTGGTATTAGGGTGCCAACCGTCCAGAAAGCAATGGCAAGCCACTGGATGTAAATTTGCCTAGAGAAACCACACAACAATTAGGGGCTGCTGGGGTTGGGGTTGGTTCTGTAAAGGATACGCAACTAACCTAGTGTCATTGTTATTTTTGGAGAGATTGGTAATATTTTCTTGTGGCTAGTTGTGTTTGAACAGTCAGACTAATTTGTTGCCAGTGAACCTGATTTTACCTGTAAGATCCTGCAGTGTTTTGTTAGAAGATTAAGCTGTGTTCTGTTACCGTTGTGGCCTTATCTCACATGGAAGGTTTCTGTTGTCAGTGCCGCCTGATCTTACATAGAATGTTGGGTGTGTGATTAAACCTTATCAGGAGCAACCAACACCCGTTGACACAAAGTGCCACCATTTGGATGAGGATCACCCGGGTACAAGTGGGTTCTCATCTCACATGAAAGGTTGTGCTCTGCTGCCATTTTAATTCTCAGAGTCACCTAGGTGTTTTTGACCTGGAGGTCTTGGCCATTAAGTCTAGCCATTGGAGTGAAAGAATCAGCATGTCTCTTGAGAATTGTCTAATCTGTCTATTAGATTCTCTGTCTCCTAATGTCCAACACAGTTTTTATCTAAAAATGTGCGAGTTACTTCCCTTGCTAAAATTCTGTGCTGCTACTTTCCTTAACAACTTTCTGGGTCATTTCTCGGCCAGTACCCATGTCCTGCAACAGTGTGTCCATGCTGCTACTGTCCATAATTTCTAGGAAAGTCATTTCCTGGCCAGTACCCATGTCCTGCAACAGTGTGTCCATTCTGCTACTGTCCATAACCAACTCTAGGGAGTTCATTTCCCGGCCAGTACCAGTGTCCTGCAACAGTGTGCCCATGCTGCTACTGTCCATAACAATTTCTAGGTTTTCTGCATTTAGTTAAAAGATAATTGTCTCGTCTGCTTGTTGCCATTTCTCAATGCAGTT